GTCTACCTTTACATTTCCAACCCTCACAGTCAGTCCTGATGGTAATTATTCACTATTGCACCACAAGAGTCGTATCCCCATCTCCTTTCATCAGTCCTGCCCAGACAGATTGGATACTACTCAGTGGAGATTCTACCTTCCTCTGTGCTCTCTGGATGTAGGCTCCCTTTTGATAGCTTGTAAGCCAGTCACTTCTTGCCTTTGTAGCACCCCCATTTTGGGTAAAGCTATCTTTTAAAGTGAATTTAATATCTAGGGGGACAAGACCAAAGGGAGTTCTTTGCAAGTATTAGAAGGGAGAAAGGGTATCCCAGCATTCCTCTGGGTGCCTCTCTGTATGGACGCTGTGGTTCATCCATCCATGATAGGCTTGCCCTGAAAACACTAGTCACAAATAAGGGTGGGTATCTATGCTTCCATTTCTGCATATTTGATGTTAATAATTTCACTTCCAGTTAAATAAAAAATACAAAGATACTGGCATGATTCAGTGATGACCCCGAACTCTTAATTGGATTAAGCATTTGGCTGTGCACATTTTGTTTAATAATAAATGGGCAGAATTGACTTATACTGTATAACTAATGATCCAGTTACCTAGGGATTAAATAGCAAATAATTAATGTAATTTTATTGCAGGCTGCTGTATAAAATAAAATTTATCCTGGATTCTACTGTCTTAGCAGGGTAATCTAATTGTTCAGGAAATTAAAGCATCTTTCTTTAGAAGGTAGACTAATAATGGTGGTGATGGGTATGTGGTGAAGTTCAGACCCTGTAATGATCCTGTGATCTCTTTATTTTTCTAAGAGACATGGTATAGAATGGAGATAAAGACAGACACTCATATCAGCCCAGGTTTTTGTGAACTGAATTTATATTTCTTCTGATTTCCTGTTTCCCTCCAGGTCGTCCACAGAACCCTGGCCGCCATGTTGGGCTCCCTGGCAGCATTAGCAGCATTGGCCTTGATTGGTGATGTAAGTTTAAAAAAAAAAAAAAGTCAGACTCCGAGACATCCAGAAATTAGGCTCACCCTGGTTTTCTCATTCTTTAGAATGCTAGTTCCACATTTTTCTCCAAGAACCGTGGTCTGAACTAACAAACTTTACCATGATGAATATTTTTAATCTATTTTTTTTACATTTCAGTTGTGTGATTTTCTGTTTTTCATATAGCCAAGGAAAGGTTCAGACTCCTGGTGTGGCACTGTAGGATCAGCATTGGATTGTAAACCACAAGGTTGGCAGTTCAAACCTACCAAGAAAGGTTCACAAGGCCATGTATCTGTCTAGGCTTGTGAAGTGGAGTGGTACTATTGTTAGACCTGGGTCATGTCCTCTTGGGAGCTAGAGGAGATTACCTGGCTAGAAGAGAGTTAGGTCTGTGTCCTATAGACTATGGGAGCCCCCTGGAGATGCACAAATGGCATCTTGTTGTTGTTGTTGATGTTAGGTGCCATTGAGTCAGTACCTTATGCACAGCAGAATGAAACACTGCC